CCCATACAGGCAGAGGTGGGTGACACAAGGCTTCTCGGCTACGCAATGGGCCTGTGTAATAACTAGGAAGCTGGAACTTACCCAGTTAGGAGGGATGGAGGTGAAGACAAAATTGGACAGGCAGTCAGTATAGATAGGTAAATCGAGTCAGGTCGGATCAAGGAGGCCAATTTGAGACTGTCCCCTGAGGGATTGAAATGTAAATTCCTTCAGAGCCCTTCCTCTGCCCTTATCAAGAACCTGCCCCTGCTCCAACCTGTTGCTAAGGTAACCTGTCCAAGGAGGCCCCATAAAGAAGTCAACACCTGAAGTTACTGCCTTGTTGGATGGTAGACAGGCTGGGCAGGCACTGCCTGCCTGCCGCTTGGCATTCTGTTCCTTGCTCATCAGGAATTTAGGGACCATGGAGGAGAAAGGGGGAGAGAGGTCCCAGGAGACTGCCTGCCTGGCAGGCCTACCTGTTGAAGGATGAATTGCCCCTCCCTACAGGTTATTAATTAAAGTGTCCCAGGCTGCACCATCCTGCCCTTCCCCCTTCAGCCCACCAGTTTCTCATATTTTGACAAGCCCACCAAGCTTCCTGGGCCTAGTCTCGTACTCAGGAAGGAGAGCCATAAAGGGGAGGAGAGGAGGAGAGCAAAGGAAGCCTAAGACAAAAAGAGCAGAAGGCCTCACTTCTGGGGATACCAGGATACCAGCTATGGCCCCCTTCTCCCTCCAGGAAGAAGTCTATGTTACCCCTTTTTAAATTAACCCTGCTTTATATGCTTGCCTCGGCGCGCTTCTCTAATGTTCAAACTTCAACATGAACTTGGCACCAATAACCTACAGTATCGGAGGGCAAACTAGTCCAGCTCACCCTGGGGCACTCAGTGTAGGGACCTACCTTTCCGGCTGGAATCAGTCTATAGCCTCCTGGGAGGAGCACAGGATGACCTTGGGGTCACTCTCAGCCCTATCCTAAAGTTGCTTTAGAGGGAAAAAGGCTTTGGACTCCCATCTATTACAATCAGCTTAGAGTCTACTGGCTTTGATGTATTTTTTTCTTCATTTTAAATTTAGTTTTACTTTGTATCAAAGTTATGAATTCACATAGTTTGAAGAATCAAATACTTCTCCAAGGTTTGCTGTGAAAAACAGCGAAACCTCAATCCCCTTTTTATATCACTTTCAAAAATTTCAGCTGATTTAGGTATTTATTTCTCAGTCTCTGAATGACTCCGGTATTGTTACTTCCTGATTTTTCCAGTTTTGACATTATCTGTTTGGTTTTCCACTGTGGAAGATGAAGATTTAGCTTTCTCTTCTCCCTTGCCACCCTCACCCCACAAAGTCCCTGTTCCTGTCTTCTCATCTTCCCATATGCCCCTAATATGTGTTTGGTTAAATCAACATTCAACATTTACCACATCATGACAATATGAATGCTATTCATAAGTCTGCTACACAGTACACTAGCTTCTACTGCTCGTTCCCTATATGACTTCTGTTTCCCTAGGAGTTAGTGGTGGTCTTGGTTTTTCATTTGCTTCATTTTCTACAAAATTATTATAATCCAACCTCATATTTTCCAAAGAAAAAAAAAAATGACCTAAATGGCCTGTCAATACATTCAGACATACCAGATAGCTGTCAATTTTTCTCATTGAAGAATTGTGTCTCAGAACTGTTGGGCTTGATCCAACTGAGACCTGTTGCTTTATCCTTGGATTTCCCCTTGTAAGTAACCCTTGGGATCCCCATTTCCTCTCTTTAGCTGAGTTTTAGTTTCCCATTATCCTGTCTCTTCCTTTTTTCTTGATGAACTCCTCATTTTCATGGAGGCCTTCTGAAGAAGGGTGTTATGGAAGGAATTTTTTTAGACAGTGGATGGCTGAAAATATGATACTACATACTAAATAATTTGGTTCAGTGAAGATTCTAAAATTCTATGGTGGAAATCATTTTCCCATAGAATTTTGTGTGTGTGTTTTGTGTGTGTGTGTGTGTGTGTGTGTGTGTGTGTGTCCAGGGATTTTTGGTATGGGGGATTGAACTCAGGGAAACTCGAACACTGAGACACATCCCCATCCTTATTTTATATTTTATTTAGAGACAGGATCTCACTGAGTTGCTTAACACCTTGCTGTTGCTGAGGCTGGCTTTGAACTTGAGATCCTCCTGATTATAAGGTGTGAGCTGCCACCTTACCCAGCTCCCAAAGGATTTTGAAGGCATTGCTTCATTATCTGGTTTCCAGCATTACAATTAAAAAGTCTAGGCTGGGTGTGGTTGTTCACACCTGTAATCCTAGCAAGTCAGGAGGCTGAGGCAAGAGGATCAAAAGTTCAAAGCCAAGCAATACATATACACAATGGAATATTACTAAGCCATAAAGAAAAATGAAATTATGGCATTTGCCAGTAAATGGATGGAACTGGACTAGATGCTATCATGCTAAGTGAAATAAGCCAATCCCAAAAACCAAAGAGGGAATGTTCTCTCTGATATATGGATGCTGACTCACAATAGGCTGGGGGAGGGTTCACCAGATTGTACAGGGGGAATGAAGGGAAGGGAGGGGTGATGGGAATGGGAAAGACAGTAGAATGAATTGGACCTAACTTTCCTATGTTCATATATGAATACATGACCAGTGTAACTCCACATCATGTACAACCATAAAAATGGAAAGTCATACTCCACATATGTATAATATGTCAAAACACATTCTACTGTCATGTATAACTAAAAAGAACAAATAAAAAAAATTTTAAAAAGTTCAAAGCCAGCCTCAGCAACTTAGTGTGGCCCTAAGCAACTTCATGGGGAGACCTAGTCTCAAAATAGAAGCACCCCTGAGTTCGCCCCAGTATAAAGAAGAAGAAGGGGAAGGACAAGGAGAAGAAGATGAAGAGCGAGGAGGAGAAGTCTACAGTCACTTTCCTTCTGTACTCTTTGTATCTATCTTGTTTTTTTCTTCTGTCTGGAAATTTACAGAATCTTCTCTTAGTATTTATTTTTCTTAAACTTCACAGTGATGTGTTTCTGCTGTGAAATTATTTTCATATATTGTCCTTGGTACTCATTGGGCCTTTTCAGTTTAAAAATGTATGTCCTGGAGTTCTGGAAATTTTATAAAATCATTGTTTCACTCAATTTTCTCTGTTCTCTATTTCTGGAACTCTGCAATTGACCTTCCTAGATTGTTCTTTAATTCCCTTCTCTCTCTCTCTTCTCTCTCTCTCTCTCTCTCTCTCTCTCTCTCTCATCTTTGTGGTTTACTTTTCTGGAATATTACAAAATATCTTTCATTTTCAACTGTTTATCATCTGCCTTTTTTTGTGTGTGGCATTGTGTATCAAAACCAGGAGTGATTTACTACTGAGCTACATCCCTGGTCCCCTGGTCCCCCGGTCACTTTCTTTCTTTCTTCTTCTTTTTTTTTTTTTTTAATTTTTGAGACAGGTTCTCACTGAGTTGCCAAAGCTGGATGGCCTTAGCTTGCAAAGCTCTTGCCTCAGCCTCCCAAGTAGCTGGGATTATAGGTGCGTGAGCCATGGTGCTCCACCTCTATTTTTAATCTTTTTTTTGGTACTGGGAATTAAACTCAGGGAAATCCAAACACTGAGCCACATCCCCAGCCCTATTTTGTGTTTTATTGAGAGATAGGATCTCACTGAGTTGCTTAGTGCCTCGCTTTAAAAAAAAAAAAAAAAATATATATATATATATATGTATATATTTTAGTTGTAGTTGAACACAATACTTTTGTTTTATTTATCTATATTTATGTGGTGCTAAGGATTGAACCCAGCACCTTGCACACGCTAGGCAAGCGCTCTACCACTGAGCCGCAACACCAGCCCTAACACCTCGTTTTTGCTGAGGCTGACTTTGAACTCTCAATCATATCTCAGCCTCTTGAACTACTGGGATTACAGGTGTGTGCCACCATACCCAGCCTGTATTTTTCCTTTTTCTTTTCTTTCTTTATTTTCATGTGGTTTGGAGGATCGAACCCAGTGCCTTACCTGTGCTAGGTGAGCACTCTACCACTGAGCCACAACCCCAGCCCCAGCCTGTATCTTTCGTCTTGAAGAGCTCTTTTTCTTGTTCTTCTGTAGTACTTATGCCTTATAACATCCTGTTCTTTGTTTTAGATGGATCTCGCTATATTGCCCAAGTTGGTCTTGAAATGCTAGGGTTAAGTGATCCTCTTGCTTTTTTTTTTTTCCCCCCAAGTACTAGGGATCAAGCCCGGGGCCTCACACACACCAGGCAAGCTCTCTATCACTGAGCCACAACCCCAGCCCTTAATCCTTGATTTTCTAAACATCAAGTGGAAGCTGTGGCCCATGAGCAGACTTATTCGATAAGGGCTTCCTGTAGGGCTACCTGGCTGCGTTGTTTCATCTGGGAATCCCCAATGTCAGAATCTCAAGTACATCCTCCTGGCATGGTCAGGCCCCCCAGAGAAGGTTCCTTCTTTTCACAGAGGGAGAAAGCCTGGCTTCTAGCATTCTGGCCAGGAGAGAAGACTGGCCAGCTTCAGTGCAGGGTCATGCTCTTTCTGTGTCTGGAGAGTAAGTTTCCAGTCTGTTCTCTGGGAGGAGGGACACTCAGGGAAACTTTATTTACCAGTTTATTATAAAAGACACAGTTTATTATAAAGGAACAGCCAAAGAGGTACATGGGGGTAAGGTATGAAAGTGTCCCTGGCACAGGAGCTTCTGCTGTGGAGTTGAGGTACACCATCTTATTGGCACATGGACAAAGAAGCTTTCCAAGCCCTATTGGTTAAAGTTTTATGGAAGTTCCATAAGATACACATGATTGATTCAATCATTGGTATTGGTGTTTGAACTCAATCTCTAGCCTCTCTCCTTTCCATGGATATCTGGAAGCCCGAGCCCCCTCATCGCTGGTTCGTTCATCTGGCAGTCATTGCCCATCCTGGAGCTACTGGAAAGGGGAGCTTTTAGCCACAAGTCATCTCATTAGCCAACAAAAAGACTTACCACTCTAGAGGGTCCAAGGCTCTTAGGTGTTCTTCTGTCAGGAAGCTGGAGGGAGACCAAGTCTGCATGAGCCACAGATAGGAGGCAGTAAGTCCCTGCGGGCACTGTTGACTCTCCCTAGGCTGCTTCCCAGCCCTCACATCCTTTTCCTCTCCCTCCAGAGGCTCCATTCTCCTGCATTTGAACCCCACAATTTGAACATCAGGAAGCAGAAGGGGAGAGTGGTCAAGAGTGTGGGTTCCATCACTTTCCAGACTTAAACCACAGGCAAACACCTGGCCTCTGAAAGTCTTGGGGTCCTCACCTGAAAAGTCTCAGGGTCCCAACAGGGGAATGATTAGCACAGTGCCTGGCACAGAGGCTTCATAAGTGGTGGCAAGCATTTGTTGCCAGGGCCTTAACAGCACCGACTCTCAGATGGAGCAGAGAGGACACCAAGTCCAACCTTCCTTCCCCATTTTGAAAGGACATAACTGAGGCCAGAGAGAATTTGTTTAAGCTTATCGAAGATACACAGCCCCTTCCTGCACCCACTTATGCATGAAGGAGAGGGGAGTCAGATATAGCCATTTTCTGCTTCAAAGTGATTTCCTGTCTAGGCAGTGAACACATTTGTCTGTTTCTGGAAACATCCTAAGAGCCTTATGAATCCAAAAGTCTGCCCAGAAACAAGTGATGAGGGCCCTGGGCAGCCAATGGGATTGCGCTGGCCTTTCTACCTGCCTGGGGACTCCCCCTCCTCATCCTGGCCCTCAAAAGGCAGCTTGGCCTGAGTGGGGTATTTCCAGCTTTGTGGCTTTCACTTCCACATCTACCAGGTGGGCGGAGTGAACTCCTCTGGACGAATCAGATTCCTCCCAGCACTAACTTCAAGAGGTGAGCCAGGGACTCAGGGTCCCAGATACACGGACAGCAGCAGCAGCAGCAGCAGCAGCAGCAGCAGCAGCAGCAAGAGCTGAGCAAAAGACCAGAGGTCAGAGCCATGGAAGACCAGCGCGACCTCATCTCCAACCACGAGCAGCTGCCCATACTGGGCCAGCGCCCCAGAGAGCAGGAGAGGTATGTGTGAGGATTAGACGAGACCACGCAAACCCTGGGCTGCACAGATATGTGCAGGTGCCCAGAAGGAGCACGCACCAAGAGTTGCAGGGAGGCGTCATGGACGCAATGACTTGAACACTTTCTGAGTGCTTTTGAGCAAGTTTTTGGCCAGTTCTGGGCTTTGATTTCCCCTTCTGTAAAGTGAGGGGTTTTGTTTGTTAGTTTGTTAGTTTTTTGGTACTGGGGATTGAACTCAAGAGCACTCAACCACTGAGCCACATCCCCAGCCCTATTTTGTATTTTATTAGAGACAGGTCTCACTGAGTTGCTTAGTGCCTCACTTTTGCTGAGATTGGCTTTGAACTCATGATCCTCCTGCCTCAGCCTCCTGAGCCACTGGAATTACAGGTGTGCGTCATCATGCAGGGTTTGTTACTGACATTGCGTGATGCACAAAATCAGAAGACCACCTGGGTTCTTTCTCTAGAGTTCCATACGATATCGGGGGCTTCACAGACCTGCCTTAAGCTGGGCCATGAATCCTGGGTTAGAAAACTTGGACCAGATTTTGAAAATGTTCTGGATCCCTGTAGAGAAATAGAGTTTCTAAAAGAGGATGGTAGAAGCAGCTCCTGGTTGAGGAGTTTCCTGGTTATCATCAGTGGGCATAGGTGTCTGTATCAAGGGAATGAGAATTTCAGGTGTCTGTAAGGGACACAGAGATATCTGCTGTTGCAGCAGTGATTTCAAGTGGAGGGAGGAGTGCCAGATAGGTTTCTGAGGGGCCCCAGGTTTGACGTGCGTCATACCCCATCTGTGCCTTCTCCCTTATAGCAAGAGCCAGCACAGCCATTCCAGGCCCCTCTCCTGGACCAGAAATGGCCTCCCCTATGTACCCTCCCTCACCCTCTCCCCCGCAAAACCAAAAGGGATATTAATGTAGCACCCTAATGCTCCTGCTTCTCCCATCACCAAAAATGTAATTTGCTCTCTATGGGGACTTACTTACAGCTACATTGACGTCAGCTGTTGCTGGCAGAAAGGGTCTTGGGAGAAACACTAGAGTTGTCATGAGGAACTATGTTCTGAGGAAAAGATAACCAGATACAGACCATTAGAGCAGCAGCCTGTGAAAATCCTAGGGCGTCCCACGGAAAGGAGTTCCCCCCTTCACTGAGGGCTGAATTTTGGTCAGGGTTCTGCTATTGTTATGTGTGACCTCAGGTAAATCACTGCTTCTCTCTGGGTCTCAATAATAATAGACAATAGCCATGATACCAGTTCCCCTCCACGGGTCCTCCTCACTGTTCTTTGTTACTATGACTGTTTGCCAGATACAAAAGTAACGACTTATTTCTCACAGTTGGAGTTCCCTATGAGTCGGGTATATTTCTTTTTTTTTTCTTTTCGTGGTGCTGGGGATTGAACCCAGGGCCTTGTGCATGTGAGGCAAGCACTCTGAGCTATATCCCTAGCCCTCTGGAATATTTCTTTCCCCAGATTTTCACAAAAGAAAATTGTGTCTCTTATTGGTAAGTCACGTAGCCAAGTTCTCATAGCTGCTGAGTGTTAAAGACAGAATTTAAACTAGGACTAGTCTAATTTCAGTTTAAAATTTTTTTTTTTTTTTTTTTTTTAGTTGTAGATGGACCCAATGCCTTTGTTTTATTTATTTTGGTGTTGTGCCGAGGATTGAACCCGGTGCCTCACACGTGCTAGACTAAGCTACACTCCCACTGAGCTACATCCCCAGTCCCTGATTTCAGTTTGAGCCCATTCTTCTTTCTGGCCCCTTCTACAGTCAGGATTTGCAAGGAGAGAGAGGTGGGCCCCCTCCAAACTCAGGTTCCCCAGTGAGTGGCAAACCCAGGTGGGCTCAATGTTCAGAGTGCCCGTCATTGAATCCTTGCTTGGTTTTCACTTTAGTTCAGTTACTGCTTCTGAAGCTGGCCTGAACCTTTGTGCTCAGGCCATTCCAGACAGGACCCTGATTCCTACCCTTGTGTGAACACTTCTGCTTGGCAACATCTGCACCACAATTCCTAGCTAGTTCTGGTTGGCTCCTGGCGTCAGCTAATTACTTTTTTTTTTTTTATTCTTCAAGGAGGCAGTGCAAAGGAGGAAGTAAAAAGAGGGGGTGACAAGAGTTGGCCCTGTACCAGAACCAGGGGACAGGCCTTCAAGAGGCATAAGGAGGAAGGAAGTCAAATGCTAAAGTTAACTATTAACTCTCTTGAGATTAGTGTATTTATTTATAGAGAGCTAACAATGTGCTAGGCAAAGAACAAAATTTTACCCTCATCACTATTATGTATGTGTTGCTGGGAATTGAACCCAGAGTCTCACAGATGTCAGGCAAACACTACCACTGAGCCACACCCCAGCCCTAATCTCATCACCTTATTTAACATAACATTTTTGTCAGGGGTACTGGGGATTGAGCCCAAGGGCCCTTTACCACAGAGCTACATCCTCAGTCCTTTTCTTTCTTTCTTTTTTTTTTTTTTTTTCATATTGAGACAGGGTCTCACTAAGTTGCTAAGGCTGGCTTTGAACTTGTGATCCTCCTGCTTCGGCCTCCTGAGTCATTGAGATTAACACATGCATCTGGCTTGACACAACACTTTGAGGCAATGCTTTTATTTAATTTTACTCATACAGAGGGGTTAAGTGACCTGCCCACAACCAGAGCTAAGTGAGTGACAGAGCTGGGATTCCAATTCAATTACATGGTCTTATATTCAATATGAATCTCAATTCTTAGGTCTTCTGAGAAGCTGAAATTCAGAATGGAGAAGGGATAGGACTTCCTCAAGCTCATATGGTGGGAGATAGAGCTGGGATTAGAATAGGGTGTGGGGTTGAAAAGGGGGTCGGGGTGTTGGGCAAGGTAGCACATGCCTGTAATTCCCAGCAGCTCAGGAGGCTGAGGCAGGAGGATCTCAATTTCAAAACCAGCCTTATGGGCTGGGGACGTGGCTCAAGTCGGTAGCGCGCTCGCCTGGCATGTGTGCGGCCCGGGTTCGGTCCTCAGCACCACATACAAACAAAGATGTGTCCGCCAAAAACTAAAAAGTAAATATTAAAATCTCTCTCTCTCTCTTAAAACAAACAAACAAAAAAACCCCAAAACAAAACAAAAACTAGCCTAAGTAAATTAGCTAAATAAATAAGTAAATGAATAAATAAAAAATAAAGTTAAAAAAAAAAGAATAAATAATGCAGCTGGAACTTGGACCCAGGCAAGAGTGAGGACAGGGAACTTTCCACTGTCTTTGGAGCCCAGTCCAGACCTTCCTTGGGAAGGTCACTAAGTGGATTTTGTTTTCCCCTCCTATTTGGTTTCTTCCTTTCCCCCCACAGAGTTTTCGCTTTTTCCTTCTAGAATAACTCTTCCCTTGGGCTGACTCTTGGCTTAGAAAGCAGAGAGCTGGCAAACAGAGAGCCAATGAGAATGAGCTATGCCTGTGATGTCATGAGTTACTAGGCAGAAGGGTCTCCTGGAGTTTCCTAAACCATCCTTGCCAGGGGATGGAGTGAGCTGGGTGCAGACTCATCCTGACATTTCCAGTGGGCTGTCTTCGTCTATTTTGCCACTATAACAGAATATCATGGATTGAATAATTTATATATATAAAAAACAGATTTATTTTCTACAATTCTGGAGGCTGGAAGTCCAAGATCAAGGTGCTGCAATCTGGTGACGACTTCCTTGTTGCATCTTCACATAGCAGTAGGCAGAAGGGCAAGAGAACACAAGTCTCTCTGTCAAGTCCTCTTACAAGAGCCCCAATCCCATTCACCCGCCAACACCAGCACACTCGCAAACCTGAATTCAGATGGCACCCATCAAACCACAGCAGAGTCCGGTAGTCGCCCTCCACCCCAGGGGTGGGTGCAGCTCTGAGAATAGGCCAGGAACTCTCAGGGTCTTAGAAACAGGATCCTTATATCCCCCATGCACTTACACCCCCAAACTGCATCCAAGGCCCACAGCTGCAAGGGCTCCCTGAGATATGAGGGTCTGGCCACACCTCATTGTGACATTGATCAGTGCTCCCCTACCCTAAATGTCAAGGCCACACTTCTGCTTTCCATGTGGGCCACATTCTCTGCTGTCCCAGTCCCATTTCCTTCCATTTTCTCCTTAAATATGACTTCACTGGGGAAGCATACAAAATAATAAAACAAAACCCTTTCCTCTCGAGGGCAGCCCTGTTTTGTTTGTCCCATGGCAGAGGGAACATGGGGAGACCCTCTGCTCCAACTCTTGGCTCTTTTCCACTTGACCAAGGCCGGGGTCAGCTCCTGCTTGGGAGGCCCCTAGGGAAACCATGGTTGGAAGGAGGCTGTGGATGTCTCCAAGCTGCATCTCCGTAGCCAGTGTATAATGTGGATGGGTGGGTGGCTTAGGGGCCGATGGGTGTTGTCGGTCCCCTCCCACCCCGCCACTGGGGCAGCTCTCTGGAGTCTCTTCTAACCCATCCCCTTGTCCCTCCCCACAGCAAATGCAGCCGTGGAACCCTGTACACAGGCTTCTCCGTCCTGGTGGCTTTGCTCCTGGCCGGCCAGGCCACCACTGCCTACTTCCTGTACCAGCAGCAGGGCCGGCTGGACAAGCTGACGGTCACCTCACAGAACCTACAGCTGGAGAACCTGCGCATGAAGCTTCCCAAGCGTGCGTGCCCCTCCTCCACCCTGCCCTCCCACCTCCCCCATTCCTGCACCCCGCTGGACCCACTGTCCTTCCCTGAGTGCCCTCCTCTCTGGGCATTGGGCCCACACTCATGCTGCCTGCTTTCCCCACAGCTCCCAAGCCTGTGAGCCAGCTGCGGATGGCCACCCCCCTGCTCATGCAGGCACTGCCCATGGAAGGCCTGCGCCAGGGGGTAAGGACAGCCCACGGTGGTGGGAGGGAAATGTGATCTAGGGACAGGTGCCAAGGAGAGGGGCAGGGAGAAGGGACCAGAAAAGGCCCAGTGGGGAGTGTCCTGACTGTGGGAGCAGGAGGCCGCCTCAGGAAGGGGCTCCCCATGGAGGTGGGGCAAGAGCCTTGGGGCCATGCTGGGAGGAGGCCCGCCCCATCTGTTACACAGCGCCTGGCGGCCCCTCCCCTTCTCTTGATATTATGTATGGATTGAAGGTTTCTGTTCATAAAACTGCTCTTGGTAAGGCCTAGGGCAGGGAAGCTTATGCCAGCTGTGACCAATGAAGATCCTGAGGCTGGAGACTCAAGTGACACAACAGCTTTCCTGTGGCAGGGACAGGCCTGCTGAGTGCCTGGAATTTGACTCTTCCCCAGACCCTGGCTGCTGGCTCCTGCTGCAGGTCCCCACTTTCAGGGCCACAGCGGGTGAGTGACCCTCTGTTTTCTCCCTCCACAGCCCAAGCAGAATGCAACCAAGTACGGCAATATGACGCAGGACCACGTGATGCACCTGCTCCTGGTGAGTGCAAGGAGCCTGGCAGCCCATGCCCACAGGAGCTCCGCCCACACCTCACTGAAAACTCCCATGCTCACCTGAAGGAACCCAAGGGGGCCCTTAAATGACGTGCAGTTCATCCTGCCCTCATCTGTGAGATGCAGAAAAGGGCCAAAAGCTCTGAAGTGACTTGCTCCAGCTATTTTTTCCTTTCAATTTTTTTTTTTTTTTCAAAATTCCTACCTTCTGTGCAAGACTCAGAGGCCACAGTGGGAGCTCCCAAGCTCCCAAGGCCAAAGGGATCCTTAGGCAAGTGGGTGACCCCAGGCAAGTGACCAGATTACAAGGCAAGTATAGGTGGCTTTCAAGTAATAGGCAGAGGACCCAACTAAGCTGGGGATGGTCAGTCTTCCTGGGGAAGGTAAGACCTTGAACACAAGTAGGTGTCTACAGGGACAAGACTAGGGGTGGGTATTGGTAGAGCTGGTCTGGAACCTGAAGCCTGTCTCCCAGCCCTGGGCCCTTGTAGTGACAAGGTGAACAGCCCTTATTTCCTCCCCTTCCATATGGCTGAGGTCCAGGGTCCAGGCTTAGTGCAGCTCAGGTCCACATCTCAGAATGGAAGACAAGGGGAACATGGGCTGCACATTTTCACCTTGCCTGACAGGGAGCTCTTTTTAACCTTCCTTCTTGCCTTGCCACTCTGCAGAAATCCAATCCCCTGAAGGTGTACCCGCAGCTGAAGGGGAGCTTCCCAGAGAACCTGAAACACCTCAAGAGCACCATGGACAACCTGGACTGGAAGGTCAGTAGTTTCCCTGCACTGGAGCCCTTTTTTCTGGTGTCTCTGGTAGAGTTGGAAAGAAGTGGGGCGGGGAGGGCTGGGCTAGGGGAGCCATTCTCTGGAAGCTGCTCTGGGTCCACCAGCACTCACAAAGCCCAGAACGCTGGAGAATGCGTAGAGTTGAAGAATCCACTGGTCTTATCATATATATATATATATATATATATATATATATATATATATATATATATGGTCTGATCATATCAGGGCCCTGTATGATCCTCCATGTTTCTGTTCCCAGGCAGGGTAGCAGCTTGGTGATGTCTACTGAATGTGACCTCTGACCTCTAACCTCTACCCACATTAGGTCTTTGAGAACTGGCTGCACCAGTGGCTCCTGTTTGAAATGAGCAAGAACTCCCTGGAGGAGAAGCCCACTGAGGCCCCAACAAGAGGTACAGGGAGTAGGAACTTTGGGGTGCCAGGGATCTGGGGCTCCCTCAGGGCTCTCTGGAAAGAGAGGGCCTGTAGCACTTGCCAATTCCATGATCTCTTGTCACTCTCCCGCTTCTCACCACCTCTCCTGCCTGTTTCTCTCTGGGTTTGGCTGCCCTGGACCCTCTTGTCTGGTCTGTGCTTTCACACCGTTAACTGCTCTTGGGGTCTGAAGGCCTCCTGTCATGACAAAACCTCCGTCACAGAAGACACTGCCCAAGAGGGCCTGGGGCAAACCCAACATCAAACATATCAGGCAGGAACCCCAGTATGACACCCATTTTTTTTTTTTTTGCCTGAAGCCTTTATGAGTGCTACAATCTCATCCTTGTGCTGTCTCTTCCTTCTGGGCTTCCATGTCGTTAAGCACCCCCAACAAAGGGTAACCTCCCTTGTATTTGGGTACTCCCAGTAACCAAAGGCTGATTTCTGCTTTCCTCTTGAAATCACAATCATGGGTCAATTCCACACTTTAAGGCTTTGGCTGTCAGAAGGGGTCATCCAGTTCTGGGGTGAACGACACACAGCCACCCACTTCCTCTTTGATCTTGGACTTGTTGGTCTAGGCCTTGGGCCTCAGTTTTCGCTCCTATGCAGTGAGTGGAGGAGGCAGGGACATGAGGGCGCAAGGCATTAGGCCCACGGCAGGGTGTGTAAGTCCGGCTCTGCTGAGACCCCAGCCCAGAGCCTGCTCACTCACTGTCTTCATCACACCTGTCGCTTCAGTATTGACCAAATGCCAGGAAGAGGTCAGCCACATCCCTGCTGTCCACCCGGGCGCATTCCGTCCCAAGTGTGATGAGAACGGTAACTATATGCCGCTCCAGTGCCATGGGAGCATCGGCTACTGCTGGTGCGTCTTCCCCAACGGCACTGAGGTCCCTCACACCAGGAGCCGCGGGCGCCATGACTGCAGTGGTAAGCAGGGGCCACCATGCCAGCAGTGTGAAGGACTAGCAAGGACTAGGAAAGCCAAGGGGCAAGAGGTCCCTCCTGGCACATGGGACCAGGACATGGGATGGCAGCTCTTGGGGACAGCCACTGTCAGCCACACATCCAGCCCTTGATCCATTGACCCATCTGGGCACTCCTCTTCTGTCTGTCCCTTTGTCACTTGTCTCCTCTGACATCCACACATCTGTCCATGCGCTGTCCTCCTGCATCCAGGAGTCCTATGGACTCCCACTGCGTTGCGCCACCCCTTCCTGGGCTTTCATTCAGCCCCCCCTGCATTGTGGAGCCTGCTCCACCTCCAGGGAAGGTCTTCAGGCACTTTGCCCCGAGGTGGGGTGGCTGGCATTACAGGGAACAAACCATCTGATGCTCCCAACAGAGCCACTGGAACTGGAGGATGTGTCTTCTGGACTGGGTGTGACTAAGCAGGACCTGGGCCAAGGTGAGAGCCCTGTGCAAGGGGACCTGGTCCCATAGCTCATTTCGAGGATTCTGACAGCCTGGGATGACCGTTTCCCAACTGAGGAACAGGGCTGGGGGCTGCTGGGGGCGGGGGACAGGAGTCTCTGCTGGGCAGGACTTGTAGCTCAGCAGGGGGCAGCGGAGGGTGGAGAGTCCTTGACTACTCTGAAGCCTCAGGATGCCAGGGGGAGGGGGGGGGGGAGAAGGGCAGGGACAACAAAGAGGGGACCAGCCTCACTCTGATGCTCCTTTCCATAGTCATCATGTGAAAACAAGAAGCGGTCTCCAGCACCAGCCAGCTCTGTGTGGTCACAGCTTTCCTGCTCCTCCGTGCCTCCAGCCTTCCCCAGTCCCTCCAAACTCCATTCTCTCATACCCTACACCTCGTTCCATGAAATTCTGGCGACTGGCTCTCCATCATCCTGGAGCATGACAGATCAAAATAGCACAGATGACACAAGAGGGCCCTGCTGCCCAACTCCTAGCCATCAGCAGGGAAGCAAAACTGGGAGGTGGACCCCAACTATGAGAACCCCCATTTCCAACATCATAGTAGTCATCAACATGGGGCTCAGAGATCTAGGCCCACAGACGGGGAACAGAACACCTCACCCCCAAACCCTAGGATGAACATATTCGTGGTCCTCTCCCCTTCTGCCCCCTTTTTTTAATCACTCCCCAAAGAACCCAGCCTCACCCACCAACTAGCCCTCCTCACTTATGCCAGCCCAACTCTGCTGCTCAGCCAAGCTTGTCATCAGCCTCAGGGCCATGGCTCACGTAAGAATAAAAGGTAGTAAGTAGAACATTCTGGCTCCTGGCTTTTTTGTTGGAATCCAATTAATTTACCATAAGGAGGTCAGCGAAGACCTAAATACAGTCATCTAGGTGTGAGAACGCAGCCTAAGGAACCAAAGCACTGAGGCTGGTGATCTAGGGATTACGTCTTTGAACAGAGACACACATGGATATGTGAAGAACTTTCACTTCCAAAACAAGTTGGTTCTTTTTGTGCAGTGCTGGAAACTGAGCCCAGGACTTTGTGCATGCTAGGCGAGCGCTCTACTGCTAAGCTACATCCCCAGCCCAAATAGATTTTTGCATACAGTTTTTTAAGCACAAACTCCTCTTGGTTCAGCTTCCATTTCCCCATGTCCCCAATTTCATTTCTATACTAAGAACAGCACAAGTATGATGACAGATGGCAACCAACACAGGGCCTCAGTGTCAGGAATGGACAGGAAGCGGGGGCTGTGAAGAATGGGGTGCCGGGGCTGGGGATGTGGCTCAAGCGGTAGCGCGCTCGCCTGGCATGCATGCGGCCCGGGTTCGATCCTCAGCACCACATACAAACAAAGATGTTGTGTCCAACGATAACTTAAAAATAAATATTAAAAATTTTTTTTCCTCTCTCTCCCCCCTCCCTCTCTCTTAAAAAAAAAAAAAAAAAAAAAAAAAGAATGGGGTGCCCAGGCTGAACTAACTGGGCTGAACACTACTCAGCTCCAGCTACTTATTACCAAGAGAAGGCCCAGGACCCCTGTGGCTAGGTTTGTTGACATTTAAGTTGAAGAAGAATCAGACATCAAGTAGATTAGTAAAATCACTCCATACCCTTAAGTTTAAAGATTTCCATAGAGGGTTGGGGTTGTGGATCAGCAGTAGAGGGCTCACCTAGCATGTGCAAGGTGCTGGGTTTGATTCTCAGCACCATATAAAAATAAATAAGTAAAATAAAGGTATTATGTCCAACTACAACTAAAAATAATAATAAAAAAATCTACAAATCTTCTTAAAAAAAAAAATTTCCATGGAGCTGGGAGTGGTGACATTTGCTTGTAATACTAGCTACTCAGAAGGCTGAGACAGCAGGACCCCAAGTTTGAGGCCAGCCTTAGCAACTTAGCAAGACCCTGTCTCAAAAATAAAAAGGGCCGGGAATATGGCTTAGTGTACCACTAAGCACTGTACCAGTGCTTGCCTAGCACATGTGAGGCAAGCTATCCTTTGTCTCACTAAAAAACAAAAGAAAAAGAATTGTGGGCCAATGTGCCCAAGGACAAAGCTTTCCTGCAGTCTGATCTAGACCAACACACTGGATCTAGAGGGAAGACAAGTCACTGGGCGAGGAGGTGGTCTAAAGCCCCGAGTGCAGGCAAATGCCAACCTGAGTCTCCGAGACCTTCAGCCCCAGGTTTTCTGGGTACTGCCACTGTCTGTATGGCTCTAGCAGGAGGCTGAGAGCCTCGGCAGTCTCCACAACCTCTGGACTTCTGGTGCTCCACCTGCTTGGGGTGGAAGTGGACTTTCTCAGGAGGTCTAGGATGGAGCAGCAGGAGGTGACTTGGCTACCTCCCCCTCCCTCCATCCACACTCACGCCACCACTGAGTCTCGCACACACTGCCCCAAGCAGCCTTGACTTCATTGTGTCTTGCCTTCATCACCACAGAATCACAGCTACCTTGACTGAGGGCCACCACTCCTAACTGGTGTTCTGGTTCCCACTGCGCCGGCCACAGCCGTTCTACCTCGAGAGCCTATTCCCCACTCACGTCAGTTCCTGAGGCCCCTTCCCATTTCCCCTCTCTGGATGTTTATTGGAAACCAACCACAACCACCCTTCAGTTCCACATGAGCTTCGCTGCAGCTGAGTCTTTCCCCATCGACTTAGCCCAGGCTCAGGCTATTTCTCTGGCAAACTGTCCCACTCACAAAATCCCAGAGCTCTACTCCATCAAGAAGGAATCCCAAGTGCTGGCTTGCTCACTGCCAGGTGTCAGACCGTCTTTCCCAAGTAGCCAACTACATAGCCTTGTGCCAGGTACACCAGGAATTTGCATCTTTCTTTTAAGTCTTTTATTCTGAGTTCTTAAAAAAAAGAGAAAAAACAAAACACAGAAGCCACAACCAGAAGAATAGACAAAAAGAGGACAAAGGCTTGGGATCAGCCAGAGTTACCAAGTGCATGGATGAGCACACACTTGGCCTCACTGGGTCTGCAGAGTGAAGCGGTAGAAAGTCCAGCCCTTGGGCATGTTAGATTTAAAGGGGGGAGACAGGTCACTTAAAAAAATATATATACTGTACACATCTATGTGAAGCGCTCTGTGCTGGGATCAGTGGGGCAAGGTCCCAGGAGCTGGGCTCCCTCCTCCTCAGACCAGGCTTCCAGCAGGCTCACAGTCTTGGCCATCATGGGGACCCTGCACTGGCCATCTTCTGCAGAGGGAGAAGTTAAAAATCCAGTCTCAAGCCAGGGTAGGCAGAGGTCAGAGTCCTGGAGATGGTCAACACTCCGTTAAGAACTCCCTGGGGGAAGGAAGCACATCCAGATGTAAGATCTCCTGACCTTTCCCTCCATCAAGGAGGATAAAACCTGGCCTTCTTGCTTCAGGAGAGGGGGACTGACTATCCCCCACGTGCTGATGCTGGTCGCTCTATTCTGGACCCTTCCGACACTGCAGCTCCCTCCAGCCCCTGGTGTTGTCACATGGCCCCACCAACTCTTGAGGAATGGAACCTTCCCCAGCCCCCCTTCCTTTGGTCCTCCCATGGCTGGGAAGGGCCAGAAAGCATACCTGTCTTGTGCCTGGCCTCTCACACAGTCTGCTCTGCGGTCTTCTTCTGTGAGGAGAGAAGTGTCAGGGCTCTTATCCCTGAGGTGTATCCCACTGCCACACCTGCCAGGGACTGGCGATTCCCCCAGGACAAATGCCAGGTCTATAGGGATCCCTGGGGATGGGGCAGTGCCTCATGTGCCCTCCAGGAAGGAGCCCAGGGCTTTCCTGACAAATTGAGGCCTACTGGGCACAGTGGGGACGCCATCCTGCCTGAGGGGCTAAGGCTCTGGCCATAGCATAGACCCTGCTCAGGCCATCAGCCCTGGAACCCTGCTGCTCCACAGGCAGAGCAGATGGCTATAAGAGTTTCCTCAGTAGGGACAGCCTGCCAGCTGGGAACACGTAGCCCAAGTCCTGTTTCTTCTCACCTGAAAGTCTGCGACAGCCCATGTGGGTCTCCCTGACCTCTGGGGGTATCCCTTTCCTTCATCCCTAACCCCCCTCATTCTCCACCTCATAGATGAGACAGGGCCACTTCTGTGGCTTCCAGAGGCTAGGAATACTCCCTTCCGGCTCTTTCTCACAAGATCCCACTTTAGAGTCAAGAATGGAGAGGGCAGGGACGTGTCTGGGTGTGTGAAGGGCTAACATTCACCCTGGGAACTGGGTTTGGGTCCCTTTTTCGGTCTGAGACGCTGCAGGAACTCATTTTACCTTTTTCTTCTTTTTCTTCTGAAGCAGTGAGTCAGGGTCTTTGGTTGAGGCCTTTTTTGCTTTCTTCTTTTTTTCCTTTTTGTCCTTTTCTTTTTTACCTGAGGGAAGAAAGGAAGTTTCTTGAACAACAGATTTTAATCCTGAGTGCTGGGCCATGCTGGAGGTATAGGGGTGGGCAGGACTCCAGGGTCTGCTCCTCCTGGCTGGTACTCAGCTCTCCCCACAGCCCAGCAAGCCATCAACACAGCCCCAGGGTGGGGCCAGGACACCTGTCCTTCAAAACCAGCCTCATGCCTTCTTCATCCATGGACCACTTGGACTATGACTAATTTTCTTTAAATTAACTCAATTATTATTATTATTATTACTATTTTTTTGGGGGGGTGGGGCAGTGCTGGGGATGAAACCCAAGGCCTCACGCATGCTAGGTAAGTGCTCTACCACTGAGCTATATCCCTGGCCCTAAATTAACTCATTTAAAAAATTCCCTCACAGGGCTGGGGATGTGGTTCTGTAGTAGGATGCTTGCCTAGCATGCGTGAAGCCCTGGGTTTCATCCCCAACCACACCCTGCCACACACACACACACACACACACACACACACCAAAAAAAAAAAGAAAGAAAGAAAGAAAGAAAGAAAAAACAACAAAACCTCCCACTGTTATTTTGATAGGAAAGTGGGAACCTAGTACAGTACTGAGCACCAAAGGGTCAAGCGTCCTGCTCTGAGGGCCACCCTGCCTTTGCCCTGGAGGCATTAGGCATCTACCCGTCTCCTGTATTCCTCTACCACCACTGGTGCAGCACAAGAGGGTTGCCTGTTTGGAGCCGGTGAAACCCCCTGACCCTGAGCATCCTCCTTCTCTGAGCCTCAGTTCTCCATCTGCAAAATGGGAATGAAATACCTCTTGTGCTGGCACAAGGACTGACGAGGACCTACTGAGCGCAGACTCTAGCACAGGTCTCAATGAATAGGAAATCGAGGTCTAGAGAGATGATGAGGGCTCAGGTGTTCTGGTCCATTTTGCACCCCAGAGCTGGTGGGAGAAACAGGCTCTTCCAAAATCTGACATGGGCCAAAGAGGCACAGGACACCATTCTCTGCCCTTGTCAGGCTGCAGCCTGAGCCTGGATCTTCTAGAAGCCTGAAGCTGAAAATGAATGTGACTGTCAGATACTAAGGGAACATTCTGGGCTTTGGGGAGCTGGCTCGCAGCTCTGGCCCAGGTGCTCTGGAATCTTTTCCGGCTTTGCCACTGGCTGCCCCCAAGACCCTGGAAAACCCATCCAGGGATCTCCTTGTGCACGGGGAAGAGACCAAGAGTTGGCTAAGGACCCCTGCCGCCCTCAGCATGGGCCTAGGGAAGCAAGATCTTACTTACTTTTATCAGATTTTTTCTTCTCTTTTTTGCTTTTTGGGTCACTTTGATCTCCACCCTCAACCTTCACCATCCCCAGCTCCCCTTCTGGCTGGTCCCTGGCCCCATGGGAGCCGGAAGGTCCCTTTCCCTTCTTCTCCTTTGTGTTGCC